GCATATGGGCAGACGTGGAGTCGAGTGAAAACGTTGGCGGAAAACCGAACGCAATGGAGACGTGCAGCTAAAGCCCTGTGTTCCTCTAGGAACTAAATGAAATAATAATTTCCTACCCTAATTTTGCCTCTGTCTGTATTCTTGACCTAACCCTTTGGGATCTCTGTACAAGTGAATTACTTGACCCTAACTAATATGAGTGTATTGTGGATTCTACGCCTCTATTCAATTTGTAAGATTAGTTCGTAATTGCAAAATATTTTCTTAATTATTTGTATATATATACTGACGAGCTTAACACACGACTGATATCTGTTTCCATTATGCTGGTCGGTCGGTCGGTTTTTGACATAGAACTTTGCACATATGTGTGGCAGTTCAAGTCGCCACACTCCATTTAGCACACAAAGGAACAAAAGAAAGTAGGAGAAATGCATAATATGCTGACTAATCACATGATATTAGCCGCTCAATGTGTTCCTCTTTCTTTGTTTAACTTAGTCGAATGAGATGATTCTGTGAAACTTCATTTATTTTTAATTCAATTTAGACTTTCTTTTTGATTGATTAAACCGAAGTGCTTGGCCTCTATTGACATGTCATCTCTCTGTGTGGATGTTTCGACGATGTCTGAAGATTTAACTTGGGGTAATCTGGTGGGTGGTGACTAGCACAGTGGAATCCAGGATGCTGATATCGTCGTATTTGGGAATCGCATCTTGATGTGCCGAATTGAATTAAACAGTATTATACCCGTTGCACAAGATTTGGCTGTCGTGGCCCATATGATCGATTGGATAACTCTATGGCGTTTTAAACTGAGTTCTAGTTTCGAGCCTCAGTGGGAACACTACCATTCACTAGGGAATGAAGGTACATCTAACTGACGAGTCCCAAATAGGACTAGTTGTGCGCATCATAGATTCCACTGCTAGTCACCATCCACTAATTTACTTCAAATTAAGTTTCCTAATCTCTGTATAACTGTTGATTGTTTACAATAGGGTGCCATCTCAAAAAGTAAAGATACACGCATGTTGCTCTGGCATAGTCTTTAAAGCTGTAACGTCGAGCTCAGAGTCCACCAAAATCTATCACAATATCTAATTATGATTTGTTAGTCGGTGTAGCCAAAATTATACAGATAATAGTGTCTAGTATCTATTTGATATAATTTAGTTGTGGAATTATGGAGAACTACAGATATATGTAAGCAGCAGTTAGTGGATAACTGTTTGATGAACAATCTTCATTTATCTGTTCACTATTTCACTAAAAAGTTTTTGTATAAACTTTTCTCACATTTGTCTCATTTATCTTCAGAATTGTGAAGGTAATAGTAACCTTCCTATCGGCCTAAATAAACTGCAGACTTTGAACTAAGTGTGATGTACCATCTGTGTACTAGTATTGCACAATCATACTGTGTATCATACTGTATCCATAATAGTGAAAAGTTCTCTGTTAGGTAAGCCTACTCTTTTCCCATTTTTATGGGAAAACAGCCTGACACTAACATTTCATTCTTTTATTTCACCATTCTACTTATTTCCTCACAGAGTCCCAAAAACAGCTCTTTCAGGAAGTTATGCGGATATAAAAAGGAAGTGGATATCTATAGACAGATTCTGTCAAACGATATTTTGTGCTGTATTAAGAAATATGTTGCTATATCAACTTCGAATTCTCCAAAAATTTATATTTACTCATTGATTGATTTTTAAGGAATATTTTTGGTAAATGAACTGAGTTGGTAATAATATTGAACGAAAATTAATCTGATGCTCACTTGTAGCGTCGGTGGCACAGTGGTTAGGACTCTCGCCGACCATGCACATGGTCCTGGGTTCGATCCCCTGCCGACGCACACCCGATATCTAAGGTCGGCCTGCGAAATTTGGGCTACCGATATCCATGCTGAAAATTCCATACTTGTGTGGTGAGTGCTACTTATAATCCGATATAAGTAGTATATCAGAAACGAAGTAACAATATGTTTGGCACACTGGAAAGAGCAATCAAAGAAGAGAACCATGAGTAGAATGTTGCCATATGATGCAGAATCCAAGAAGCTATCGAATGAGACGATATTCGACCAATTCGTCAATGATGTGGTAAATGATATGCAAATGGCCGGTTGAGAATATGGTATACCAAATTTAGCTATGTACCATACGTTTCCCCAAATAAACATTCCTTTCAGCCTCCTCATTCTTGTCTTCTTTACACTTGTACTGAAAATACGGTGTGGCATCAAGCTGTAACCAAAATAAAATTTAAAAAAAAATTGTGACTGGTTACAGAACGAAGTTGCCTGGATTTCTAGTGAGAAATCGTGATCAGTGTGGTCCATCAGGTCTGATGTGAGGGCAAACACTCGCCGATGACATTGGTTGTCGGTTGCGTTAAAATCACGAATAGACAAGTTAGAACTTATGGGTCGGCCCGAATGGCTGAATGGTCAACGAGCGTGGCCTGGTAATCTGAATGTGGCAAAGTTAAACTTTAAGCTTCAGTAATTACCAACGGACTAATGGCCTTGAACGCACCAACCACATGATAAAGGCAATTTTTATGTATTAAATACATATATTCATGAAAATAATGAATATAAAAGGTATGAAGCTGTTACATAGGATACCTTTCTCTGACGTGTGACAAAAATACCTCTCAGTTGTGCACTGGAGTATCAATAGAGTAATTTCAACACAATCTATGCGTGTAATTGTCTAGGTCTTCTAACCCTACCAGTAACTTTAATCCTTCCTTAACCTAACCCTAGCGTGAAAATATCCCTAAACTAACCCTAATGTCACCCTCATTAGGTTAACCTAACCCTAACTTATCCCTAGCCTAGACCCTAACTTAATCTTCCCCAAAAACTAACCTGAAACTTGCCAGATGTTCCATTTAATAACACAACACTTCATCAAGCATATTTTAGTCACGATCACAATATTATTTACCAGGTTTCACTGACTTGTTCACTGAATGTTTCAAGGTCATTGGTGAGGTCGCACTCCACTGGTCCTTACTGGTGCTTAAAGTTTAAGTTGGACCTGAATGTCATGGGTTGGATCCCCGGTGGGGTCATGTGTACGTACCGCTGAAGAGTCCCAAAGTAAGACGAAACAGCTGGGCAGTACTCCCTAGTTTTCAGTGGTTCTCTAACTGATATCAGTCTGTGAAAATAGGCGTATAGATTTCAGTCTTGGTCTGCTAATATTTTGTTTACAGTCTAAAGGTATCTTTTCTGTTACTTGGTAAAATTAAAAATGTCACTAGGTTTGATTAACTTGTCAGGAAACATTAACTTAGCTTAGAAATTTGGCTAATGACAATTTTAATCTTAACTGACCTCTCGAAAAGTATAAGGTAATCATATTTATGTGTACAGTCTCTACCACATGGTGCTACAATTGGTCCCTGTAGATTATGGATAGTTTAGACTACCATGACTTGATTTCTTGGCGAAGTTAAACTATCATAGCCAAAATCATAGTAGCCTTGAACAACCAATCAGAATTCAGATGCGAAAAACTATGAAAATTAAAAAGTCAATTTTGTTATAAGAATGTTTCCCGGTCACTACACGGATAATCTATAGAGAAATTATACCATACGCGGTAGATGTATTCATCCAGGTGACTGTAGATCATATTACTTTAATCATGGTTCTGTAGCCTAGCTCTAACTCTAATCTTAACCTTAACCCTAAACCGTAACTAAATCTTCTTTTTATTCCTTTACGTTCCCAGTGGAACATAGGGCTTCAAGCTAAAGGCTTGAAGTTTCGGTAGCAGTGGTTTTCATTTTTATAGGATGGGGTTGCTAGCCTCATACCCAACCTTCCCTCTTTACCAGTCTTATTACCGGCCTAGCGAGGTAAAGGAGTGCGTCGGCCGGGAATCGAACCCCTGACCACATGCGTGGTAGGTGAGCATTCTACCGCTGTGCCACCGGCACACAACCTAAATCTTAAAAACCACAACCCTACCTAACAGTATAGATATACAGAAAAAGTACCTAAGGAATGAGTAGTGTACTGTACCTACCCTCGCCAAATCCAAAAAGGTAGGCATGACTTGATTTGGAGTGACATTTCCCTAAATCTGATTGGTTCTTTTGAGTTAACGTTTGACAGACCTTGACTTTGGCTATGATACTTTAACTTTGCTGATTTCTTACACTAAGTTAAACAGAAATAAGATTTTTTTCCACTCAGTTTTACCACAGGTTCACAGTCGCTTTACATCTTGCTATTTTTATTTCTCATCTTGTGTGGTTTAAATCCACAGAGGAACTACTGTCATAAACTCAATATATTAGTGTGTAAATTACAGTCAGGCTTTTCGGCTAGATGTTATTACTACTCATTTAAGATGAAAACTAATCATCATTACTCTAGTGGATATTAATGTGTCCAAATTAATTTTGTTTTTTTTAAATAACTCTCAACGTGTCACACGCCCCTCTCCCCCCCCCCCCCCCCCCCACACCACACACACGTGAATTTTGATGACAGCTAATTTCCCTTTATTTTTCCCCTTGAATGAATTCTCAGAGCTGCTTATCTCTAAAATACAGTTCATCAGATAAATTATGATGAATAATAACAGAATTAATTACACCTATGTGAATAATATAATGAAAATTATCTAATATTTTTTTTATTTCCTTGTTCTTCATATTCTCCTTCTTCGTCGTTTATTTTGCTTGCTTATCTAAACAAAATCCTCACAAAAAAAATTCCCCTTTGTCATTAAAATATTCACCTCTCTTCCCCTATATATTCGTCTTAGGCCTTAATTCTTATTGGTTGTTGTTATTTTATTGTCGATTCATTGTTGTCTGATAATCTTAGAATGTTATAGCCTTTATAACTTCTTAAACTTTCGTTTTCATTTATTATTATTATTATCATTGTTATTGGATAATAGAATAAATGAATAAATAAATAAATAATCCTTTCATCAGAGAGTCCATTTTCGTTTGCTCATGATTATTATTCAGTAATATGAAATAATCTGGGAAAATATACCCTACTCTCGGTTAATTTACTGTTTTTTTTTGTCATTTACAAATTCCACATGAGTTCACCTTCTGGTAGTCAAGATTTCTCCTCGTTGGATAGTCGTGAACGTCAACGTCAGCGTAGTGTGAATCAAGCATTTGCAGCACTTCGATGTGTATTGCCCACACATCCACCGGATAAAAAATTGAGTAAACATGAAATTCTACGCCTGAGTATAAAGTATATTCGAATATTAGAAGCTATTCTGAAATATCAAGAAGAAGTAGAAGGACATTCATCTATTTCATCGAATGGATCACATATTGTCACATTCTCTTCTTCTTCTTCATCCTCCTCCTCCTCCTCCTGGACATTATCGTCATCATCGTTTAATAAAAATAAACCTTCGAATACTCCTCACAAGAGAACATCTTAATTGGCGAAGTGATTTTCCCGTAATTAATTTATTCCTAATCACATTCCTTCACAAACTTATCGTCTGTCTTCATATTTGATGGCTTCACTTACATCAGTGTTGATTGCGTTTTCATAACAATCTATCATGACATAAAAAAAACAAACGAAGTTATTCTTCATGTGAATGAATCCTTTATTCTCGTAATAATTCATAACTTCTGTTGTTTTTATATTTACAGTTTGCTGTATGACCTATTTGGGATTATAATTAATAATATTATTACTTATATTATCATTGTCGTTATATCTATGCCTAATAATAAGATCGAAAGAAAACGCATATTGGATGATAAGTGAGTTCCTATTTTTGTTGACTAGAGTAATATTATGCTTATCTATCATCATTGAATTGTTTATGTACATACTGTAAGTGTAATTCATTCTCCAGCTATTGATTCTAAGCATTTTGAGGACTCCAACCAGACAGGCAGGCAGCTGCTACACTTCCTTATGTGGCTCACTAACTAACCGTCAAAGATTTCATGGATTGGTTTGACCATCACTAGCTCTTTTTCCAATCTGATCTTATATTAGTTAACACTGATCATCAAGGAAGGCGATGGCTTGGTATGCACAATACGTGTTCCAGTCATCTCAATCGATGTTACTTCACAGCTTCATTGATTGACTAACCCTCCTTACCTAACACTGTATATCTTACCGCAATGGTGGCTAGTAGTGTCGTCCAAGATGCGCATTTCGTTGTATTCGGAACCCATAAGCTGGAACACTCAGTGAGCGATGTTATTCCCATTAAGATTCGAAGCCAGCACCCATCATTTCAGAGGTTGAATATTTCGTTATTTAATTCAATTTTAGATTTTCCCCTCGGTTGATTGGATCGAAGTGCTCGGTCTCAGGTTGACATGTTGTGCTTCGATGATGTCTGAGTATGTAATTAGAAGCTAATTGGTGGATGGTGACTAGCAGTGGAATCCAGGATAACGCGCATTTCGTCCTGTTTGGGATGTAACCGCATCCAGATGACGAGCCAGTCTCAAATAGGACGAAATGCGCATCCTGGATTCCACTGCTAGTCACCATTCACCAATTAGTTGAATATTTCGGTTCAGTCAATCAACAGGAAAAACAAAATTGAATTGAACAAATTGTTTTTTACCACAGTTTAATTTTGTAATAATAATAAAGGTTAGGAGACAGTTGACCAAAAGCCTTGAACTAAAGTTTTTGTTTTTTCTGGTTGGCATTTATCACCAAGATTTACTTGGAATCTGGAGTAAATCCATAATCTTTGTATATCCCCAGTCATTTAACATCACTTGGTAATGAAGCGATAAAACTTTAAAATAACCTCTTCATCATAGATATACTAATGGAATTGACCCTAACTGACTTTAGCGACTTAGACGTTGATTTGCTACCAGGGGACAGTCTTGTTGACGTAGACGATATAGTCCTTGTAGGTGAAGACGCTGATAAAATGCAGATTGAATCGCTTCACTTTTGTCCATAGTTCTATGTTGAAATCAGTCAGTCAGTCAGTTTATTTCAAAACTGCTGACATTTTGAAATAGAAGTAGTTTTCAAATTTTAAAAGGGTTTCTTAAAGCTCATCAATGAGCAGCCGTAAGCACAGCCATCTTGCATAAAACAGTCGCACAACTTGGCTTAATGTCCAAATTACGAGCTTTTGTAATGGGACTTGACACCTGCGCCGGTTACTATCTAGTACTAATCACGAAAATGCCTAATCATCTTACCCAAATACGTTATTTAGTAGAAAATTTCTTTTCACTAGTCCTGTGTAGTTCACTTTGACATTTCACTGTTATTTGGTTATTTAAGCCATAATCATTTGCATATATTCAACAAATATGTCTGATTTTCGAGAGTTTGTTTGTAGGGATTTGATTTGTTTCAAGTTTAATCACGGATTGATATCAGTTAGAGAACTATTAAAAACCAGCAAGGAGTACTGGACAGCTGTTTCGTCCTAGTTTGGGACTCGTCGGCAGTACGCATCCACCACCAGCATTAGCACCCTCTGGTGGTAAAATAGCCAGGGGTTAGAATTCATGGGTCACTGAGTTGGGTCCTAGTAATTGAGTGATCTATGAGCATGCCTTGTAACCGGAAGGTCCTGGTTTCGAACCCTAGCGGCGGGTGTGTTCTGCCAATGAGTCCCCAACTAGGACGAAAGTGTTGGTTTTCAATGGTTCTCTAACTGATATCAAACCTGAAAAAAATACATCTGAAATGTTATAATTATTTTTCCTACTTTTTAGCAGTATGGATGATGATTTACCAACCGATCCGTCTGTAAAATTTCGAAATCGTTCGGGAAATAACAAGTCTTTATCAGCTTCAACCATGCATAGTGGAAAAAATCCATTTAAGTCAGGAAATGTACCCTGTCCATCAAAAAAATCAAGTGAATCAGAATGCAGTGATGCACATATGAAAGATATGACAGATGAATTTTCTTCAACACGAGATCAAAATGATTCTGAATTTCTTAACACTGGATTTACTCTTATTGGTTATACATTTTTCCTTCAAATTGCCTTACATATAATGACATTTTTCTTGAACAGCCTTTCATATCGTTATTTGGATACAGCCAGTTTAGGCCTGGTCAATGTACGTTTGGGTCTGTTTTATTCAACCTTAGTATTTACTGCTAGAGAAGCGTTTCGTCGGGCATGTCTTAGTCGTGGTGGTGAATTAATTAATACTAACAAACAATTGTTAAAGCATAAATTATTCTCTTCAAATGTCAACATCACCACTTCAACTTCTAAGCCTATTATCAGTGAAGATTCTGTTGATATTTCTCAGTTAGCTGAAAATTACACCAATGCTGGAAGCAAAAATGGTCAGTCTCTGCTTCAATATAAACAACAGTTACACGGGATTTTAAATCTTGCTTGGCTAGTGTAAGTCTCCTTTTTTTCTCTTCCTTTTTACGAATTTTATCTATACTTTTTAGCTTGCCTACTGGTTTAATCATGGCTACATTACTCTGTATAATTTGGATTTTCATCTTACCGTCTCCAAGCAGTCTGACTGGTGGTGGTAGTGGTGCTGAATCATCACATTCAGAGTTCAGCGTCACCGCTTCAACAATTGAATATCGTTATATCATTTGTATTATTGTTTATACCTTATCTGGTTTCTTAGAATTGACTACTGAACCATTCTGGCTTCTTTGTCAATTATCTCATGAAGTTCGTGTAAGAATTTTTATAGAAGCATTTGCGAATACTGCTCGTGTCATTGGAATTGTCAGTGCAATATTCACTGTACCATCTGAGTATGCTGTTTACTCGCTAAGCATTCCTCAAGTAAGTGATACACTGCATAGAGTTTTGTATAATCTATCATTAATTTCAATTACAGCCTATATTTGATCATAATGTTTATTCACACATCCATTTGTATACCCGACTGACTTTTGGTATGCGATTCGCCCCTGTAAAATGTAAGATGCTACTACAGGACTGGACTACGTCAACTCCTAGCTTAGTGATAGGGAGTGGAGTGATAGAACATGTTGACTACTTCACCTATTTGGGAAGTTGTATCAGCACCAACGGATTGATTGGTGACGAAGTCTCAGCACGGATCCAAAAAGCTCGAGCTGCTTTCGCTAACTTACGCCATCACTAGCGTAGGCGTGACATCCGGCTATCAACCAAGGGACGTGTGTACTGCTCAGCAGTTCTCTCCGTCCTTCCCTATGGCTCTGAAACATGACCAATACGAGTTGAAGATATGAAAAGGTTGACTGTTTTTGATCATAGATGTCTACGATCTCTTTCCCACGTTAGGTGGTATAATAAGGTAAGTGATGTTGATGCGTAGTGTTGGGCAAAGAGGGAAAATCAATCGAAGAGGCTATACAGTTACATAGATTGAGATGGCTAGGTCACGTGCTGCGCGTGCCTAACCATCGCCTCCCCCGACGGACGGGTATTACTAGCTGATATAGGTGCAGGTTGGAAAAGAGTAAGTGGTGGCCAAACAAAAACATGGCCTCATCAATCCATGAAATCCTTGACAATTAAACTGAGTCAGGTAGGGAGATGCAGACTTCCGGGTTGGGGCCCGCCCTCGGGACTCTAAGAATTAATCACTGGCTAGAGACAATAGGTGACATGGCTCAAAATCGTTGTCAATGGCTTACGCAGATGTATTCAGTCTCTGTAATCTTTCATATTCCTTTCTACCATTACTCATTCTGTTTCACTCTTATACTTGTCAAAACTCTATTGATTCTCTTCATCACTCATTTTCTTGTCTACCTTTGTGTGCTCTTTGGAACGTGGGAACTCGAACTGCTGCACTTCGGTGCCAAGTTCTATGTTGAATCCAGACAGAGAGACAGACCCGACTGACTGACTGATTGACTCAGTTGTAATGTAGAACTTTGCACAGATGTGCAGCGGTTCCTGTCGCCACACTTCGTAAAGCACACATAAATTTAGGGTGGGGGGGAGAAACATAAAGGATATTCTAATAAAAGGAAATGTACAGGAGAAAGAGCGGTTGAGACAACAGTTCGTGCAGAATAAGATGGTACCATTATTTATCTCGGTGGCTTCTCATCAGCAGAAACAACTTTGACATACTTGAAAACGTTACATGATGTCATTGACAGAGAGTTCAAGTTTGAAAAAAGTCAATGTACGCATACAATGGTAGTGAAGTTACGTAACAAAGAAAAGATGTCAGTAAGATGATGAGTAACGAGTAAATTGAGTATGAATATACTGAGTTCAACTCAAATCATTGAAACAAGAGACAAGCAAAGTTACACTATATCAAAGGGAGAGGTTAAAGCCAAAGATTGCCTAATCAAATGAAAGAGAGAGTAAAGGCATCGTTACCAGAGCTTCTTTCCTAACACAAATCGGGTTTCAGGCGTCTGATAAGGATTGCTTTGGCAAACTTGAGGGGAATTGAGATCTTGTGTCTATTGGTAATTTTAAAGGATTTTGCAATGTCCACCTCATGACCCGTATCAAGGAGATACCTGGTAATGGCACTGTTGTAAACGTTTGTTCCCTTGACAGACGTAGGCTTTTCGATAGGTGTTCAGAAAATCGAAGTTGTGCCCTTCTTTCTATTCTCTTAATGTAACTACTACCACAGATACTTATATAAATTTGTATACACAGTTAGAGTTAATATGAGAAGGGTATCTGTCGACCTTTAATTGCACTAAAGAGCATGTTG